TTTTATTTTTTTTTATTATTTTGATTTAAATAAAATAATATATAATTTTACAATATAATTTAAAACTAGCAATTCTACCCGAATGATGTTTCAAGTAACTTCATGATAAAAAAGATAAAGTTTTAAAGATAATTTAAGTTTGATTTGGTTGGGATATAACAATAGATAATTTTTTCATCTCCTATAGGTAATAAAACCTTAGCATTACCAAAAATTAATTTAAAATTTGCTTATAAATACTTTCTTCAAAATTGACTTTAGATCTGCTCAAGATCTGAAGATCTTATTAACTCTTAAAGCTATTTAATCTTCTAGTAAAGCTCTGAACGGTTCAGATTAATCTGAAAATTTTCAGTTCAGATCAACTTCAGTTCAGTTTTGGATTGCAAAAAATTCAATCCGAAAATTTTTGGTTCAGTTTGGATTTTTTTCAGATTATAAATCTAATCTGAACCGAAAAAAATCTGAACTGAACTGAAAATTTCGAATTAATCTGAAATTTTGGATCGTTTGAAACGATTAAATTTAACGTTCTTTTGGAACTCATTCTAAACAAACAATAAGAAAATCATTTGATTGGAACGATTAAATTATCATTCCAAATGAACGATAAGAAAATCGTTTGATTGGAACGATTAAATTATTATTCTAAACGAACGATAAGAAAATCGTTCGATTAGAACGATGAAATTATCATTCTAAACGAACGATAAGAAAATCGTTCAATTGGAATGATTAAATTATCATTCTAAACGAACGATAAAAGAATTGTTCAATTAGAACGATTAAATTATCATTCCAAAAGAACGATGAAAAATTCGTTCATTTAGAATGATTGAAGTTATCATTTCAAACGAACGATAAGAAAATCGTTTGATTGGAATGATTAAATTATCATTCCAAACGAACGATAAGAAAATTGTTCGATTGGAATGATGAAATTATCATTCCAAACAAATGATAAAAGAATCATTCAATTGAAACAATACAATTATCGTTCCAAACGAATGATAAAAGAATCATTCATTTAGAACAATTAAATTATCGTTCCAAACGAATAATAAGAAAATCATTCGATTAGAATAATTAAATTATCGTTTCAAATGAATGATAAATGAATCATTCAATTAGAATGATTAAATTATCGTTCTAAAGAACGATGAAAAAATCGTTTATTTGGAACGATTGAAGTTATCATTTTAAACAAACGATAAGAAAATCGTTCGATTGGAATGATTAAATTATTGTTCCAAACAAACGATAAAAGAATCGTTCGATTAATACGATTAAATTTATTATTCCAAATGAACAATAAAAGAATCGTTCGATTAGAACGATTAAATTATCATTCTAAACAAATGATAAGAAAATCGTTCGATTGGAACGATGAAATTATCATTCCAAATGATCCAAAATTTTGGATTAAACCAAAATTTTTGGTTCAGTTCAGATTTTTCTGATTTATGGTTCAGTTCAGTTTCAGATTGGCATTTTTAAGATTTATAATCTGAACTGAACTGAACTGAAATTTTCAGTTCAATTTCGGATTAGCCTATAATTCGAACCAAACCGAACTGTTCAGAGCATTATCTTCTAGTGATCCAATTGTGATAAATTTAGCTTTATTTGAAGCCCTTTTAGAATAGTATCTAGTTATTTTGAATTGGTATTTCTATAACCTTTAGGTCAAATGATCACTTCATTTTAAGGATTTTAAGAATTTGCAGTTAAATAATTAATTTTGAACACTTGTAAGTAATTCTATTTTCTTACATATTGATATACAATTTTTCATCTCCATTAGATTCCCAGATAGTGAAATTAGTGTTTAGCATCATTACTTTTTGGACAGTTCCTTTTGCTTCAATTCCGACAGTTACACTTACTTGAGATTCTTCTGTGATGAATCTCAAAATAATTGCTTTTAGTTATTTCTAAATAACTCTGGATCTTATAATTGGATCGGGATGGTTTTGGTTTTATTTGAAAGAGCAGAATCTATCGAATCTGTATATTAAGTTTGAAAGGTAGCGGACTGGTGGATGTCGAGATATTCGCATTCAAAGTTCATTATAGCAAATCATTTTTTTTTAGTTTTTATTAACTCTCAAAGCTACACTCCCTGGCCAAAAGTTTAGGACCACCCAATAAATTTAAAAAAAACTTAATTTTTTTATTAAATTACATTTTATCATGCTATAAAAAAAGCAAATATAATAATTTT